TGGTCCAGATTGTCCCATTCCTGTTGCAACGCAGCAGCAAGTTCTTGGACATTGGCAGGACGTTGTTGACGTTAACGTAACCTCTGTCCAAGCATGTCCCAGACATGCTCGATGGGGGAGAGGTCGGGACTCAGTGCTGGCCAAGGTAATGTGGTGATGTTCTGTTGTTGGAGGTAACCTGTAACGATCCTGGCCCTGTGACATCTTGCGTTGTCATCCTGGAAGATGAAACGGCGGCCATGACGTCGTGCGAACGGCACAACATGGACTGCCAAGATGTTGTCCCGGTAGTACTGGCCTGTAACACGCCCTGCAACAACATGTAAAGCCGTTCTTCCAGCAACAGTGATGCCTCCCCACACCATAACAGAACCACCCCCAAATCGATCATGTCTGATGACGTTAACGTCTTGGAAGCGCTCGTTTCGACGACGCCACACCCTCCTACGTCTGTCCAAAAAATCAACAGTGAACCTTGACTCATCTGAAAACATCACATTGCTCCAGTGTCGATTATCCCAGTGTTGACGATCCCTACACCAACGACGTCTTGCCTGAATGTGATGATCTCTCAAACAAGGGATCACGCGAGGACGTCGGGCGCGAAGGTGACCCCCATGCAGTCGATTCCGAATCGTCTGGCCACACACTCTCACACCAGTGTCTGTTTGAAGACGAGCGCTGATCTGATTTGCTGTGATGACACGATTTCTCAAGGCCAAGGTACGGATAAATCGATCCTGGGCTTGAGTTGTCGCCCTTGGTCGACCTGAGCGTGGTCTGTCCTGTACAGATTGTGTATCACGGTATCTGGACCATAGCCTGCTTATGACAGACTGAGAAACATTCATCGTCCGCGCCACAACCGCCTGTGTTGTGCCGATCTGTAGCATGCCAAGGGCACGTAACCTTTCATTTTGGGTAAGCCGACGCATATCAAAATTTGTTTTCTGGTCACTAAAACAATTAAACTGATGTTTCCACCCTGGAATTCAATGCCACAATGACTGTAACATTCAAAGTTAGAGTCGTGCAAATCTTGGGTTGGACCCCCATGATGATCCCAAGCATCACCTGCATTCCATGCGGTAGCTATTGGTGCGTTTGGGCGTCACATGTAACTGGAAATGTTTCTTCTGTTAGGTTCTATAGTGACTTTTTTCGTAGTCATTTGCATATTTTAGTATTATGCCCCCAAAATCAAATATCCCCTACTTTTTTTGAATAGTATATATTTACATAATTGTTAATTGCATATTTACAATTTCATTACTGCAATTAATATATTGTATCATGATCATTATTACCATTATTATCTCTTGAAGACATTAAAGACATTATGCGTTAACAACCTCTTCTTATTATTAGGTAACATTGTGAGAACTAGTGACAAATAACCCAAGGGTTGCGTCACATCGCCCAAGACAGAATAAGGGCACGTTCTCAATACCTCTAAGGCAAGAGTTAAATGTAAAACGTCAAATGTTAAGTGACAAATGTTTTGTGGGAAAATGCTTTTTTGACGTGTCTACATTTTACATTTTTCTCATTACATTTTACATTTGCGCTTTGCCACATCTCATTTATCCTTCACGCTTTCTACAGCATCAACATTCATAGCAAATGTAGGCTATCACGTGACTTATTAAAATATACGGAAATCTGGCACACTATAAGCCAGAACAAGGATATTCACGACAGTATAACAGGAAATCAGCTTAGCACACAACAAGAAATTTACTTACCTTGAAACTTTGGATGTACATTACCATGATTAAGGGCAGGGGGGTGCGGGCTGTGCAATGTCCAAATACGAAATCCCAGCTACCATGTTACATATTATTGAAAAGCACGTTCATTTCTATTTGTAAATATGCAAATAGTTCTCTAGTACAATCGTATTTTCATAATTCAAATCCAATAAATATCACAGACTAACGATGCCATCGAGAGTAGATTATGGTCTAGTGGATTAGTTAATTTGACTAATTACTAATTTAGATAATATTTAACGCCTAAAGAAAGACCTGCAATAAACAGATTTAGCTTTTGCATAATGCATGTTTAAGTGACTGCATGTGGGGTGGGAGGGGGTATTCAGTGTAAGAATACGAGTCTTGAAATCAGCTTAGCACACAACAAGAAATTTACTTACCTTGAAACTTTGGATGTACATTACCATGATTAAGGGCAGGGGGGTGGGGGCTGTGCAATGTCCAAATACGAAATCCCAGCTACCATGTTACATATTATTGAAAAGCACGTTCATTTCTATTTGTAAATATGCAAATAGTTCTCTAGTACAATCGTATTTTCATAATTCAAATCCAATAAATATCACAGACTAACGATGCCATCGAGAGTTGATTATGGTCTAGTGGATTAGTTAATTTGACTAATTACTAATTTAGATAATATTTAACGCCTAAAGAAAGACCTGCAATAAACAGATTTAGCTTTTGCATAATGCATGTTTAAGTGACTCCATGTGGGGTTTGAGGGGGTATTCAGTGTAAGAATACGAGTCTTGATAAAAAAAAAAAATCCAAAATGTTTCCTATAATTGCTCTTTTCAAATATGTGAATATTTTTCTGGCACATTCATACTCCCTGAAAAACGACCAAAGTTGAATGGAACTAAAATCTGTTGCCATGAGTGCGGGAGTGCAGGGGGGGGGGGGGGGGTATTCAAGGTTAAAATACGGGTCTTAATCCGAAATTCTCCATACCAAGTTACCTATCACTAAAAGCACGTCCAGTGCTGCTTAATAAAATGTAAATAATTTATTGGCACATTCAGATTAGCATACCTTGAAACACATCGAGTGGTAGGAAACACCATTAAAGTAAAAAAAAATACTGGTTTAATTCCAGATACCATGTTACGTATCATTGATTGCTCTTTTTAAATATGCAAATAATTTTTTGGAACATTCATATTAATTTGCATAACTTTACAAATTAAGATTAAAGTTGAAGTGAAGGAAGGATAGGGTGTGTGTGTGTGTGTGTGGGGGGGGGGGGGGCTAAACTAAACTAAACTAAAGATACGGGGCTTAATCAAAGATTCTCTATGTGTATACTAAAAAAATGTATAGTCATTCCTCTCTTTAAATATATTATTTATTTGTTGGGCACAATGCTTATATATTGTTGGTTTTTTTAATGGAACAAAGTTAATTAGGCTGTACTCAACTCTGTTTATTTTCTAACGGGTATTAAATTAATACGAAATTCCAGTTATTGTGTTATAAATTACTGGAAAGTATGTTTCTTTGGCTCCTTGAATCTATCAATTATTTCCTGGCATATTACGCACGGTGTGCCAGCTTGATTTACTATTATCGTGCGGTGAACATCCTATAGTGTGCCTGGTTTCCGTATACATGTATTAATAAGTCACGTGATATCCCACATTTGCATATGAAAGTTGATGCTGTGCGAAATATGTTATGTAGAAAGCGTGGAGGATAAATGAGATGTGGCAGAGCGCAAATGTAAAATATAATAAGAGAAATGTAAAATGTAGACACGTCAAAAAAGCATTTTCCCACAAAACATTTGTCATTTGACACTTAACATTTGACGTTTTACATTTAAAGGACAATATTGGTGCCAGTCATTATCACATATGTGATAGAACTGGTTAAACACGTTCCAAATATTATTTTATCACAGCGATCATTGCTACGATAGAGGCGTAATCAATGCTGTAACAATCGGAAATGACGAACGCAAAAGGAAAACACGAGTTATCCCTCTATATAACTGACTGAAGTGACGAGTGATAATAGATACATGGGCGAATTTCTGCTCACTAATAATTCCTTCGAAGACCAAATGCTGTTACATGAGACTGTAAGAATATATCCGACAATTCAAAAAAGTAATTGAATGTCATTAGATAAGAGAACACGAATAAAATAGAAACAGTCCGTACATTCACGCGTGTTTATTCATTCTATCTTTATAAAAACATGGTAATGCACGGGCTTTTTCTATTTTTCTTTCATGTTCTCTTATCTAGTGACAGTTAATTTTTTTTATGAATTGTCAGATATCCTTTCACAGTCTCACACAACATCTTTTGGTCTTCGAAGGAATTACTAGTGGGCAGAAATTCGCCCATGTACCTGTTATCACCCGTCACTTCAATCAGTTATATAGAGGGATAACTCGTGTTTTCCTTTTGCGTTCGCCACTTCCGATTGTTGAAACATTGATTCCACATCTATCGTAGCAATGATCTCTGTGATAAAATAATATTTGGAACGTGTTTAACCAGTTCTTTCACATATATGATAATGACTGGCACCAATATTGTCCTTTAACTCTTGCCTTAGAGGTATTTTGACTTTATCATTACCGGTATTGGGACTTTGTACATTGTACTTTTTACAAATAATCAATGGAAAAGACATTGTAGCAGAGCATTTAATATTGGCAGCGATACCTTTACATATACATGTACATGTGTAAAGCATTCAGCATTATTTGCAAACTTCCAATGGGAAGTGATATCAGATGTTGTAGTTAATTAGATGCTGACATACATGAATCACATCCATTCACAGATGTACTATATACGTGTCTTCTAGAAGGCTTGGTACTATGTAGATTTGTAAACTTGTCAACATGGTTTGTGTAATAGTGATATTTTGGACATATCTGCCAATGCACAACACTCATCACTTTGCAAAAGTGTAACTTTACTATCTAGATAGGGAATGTTTTGGCATGGATGTGATGGTTGCTTTAGGTATGCTAGATTTAAAAAAGACAGCTACCATTGTAGATACATTAACCATCAGTTTGGAGGATTTTAAATCCACACATATATTATTTTGAATAGGAATGTTTGTTTTTGAGGGGGAGGGGGTGTTCATATAATTTGACAATAAGTACCATTTTAAAGTTATTTTTATCATAAATGCCACATAACTTGTAAAACTGCTTTAAATTCCAAAGAAATCATAGTTTTACTTGCATATCTGACTTACACAAGTCTCTAACTCGATATCATCCAAAGTCTTCGACCTTGAAAATACAAATTATTTGTCAGTTTAAATCAACATTGATGTGATCTTACCGTGAAAAGATGAGCTTCTGATATCCGATATTTAAGACAAAAAAATTTGTTTACCATTGGTACACGAATCGTGTACGATGATGCATGCGTTTCAGCGCCATTTGTAACAAGGGGCTCGAAGAACGAGGCTAGACATATTCCACAAGTCATTTAAAGCGGTGAAGCCATATTCTTATCCGGAGAGCATGCACAATAAATATTATCGTTGTAGACTGGAATAACCAGACGCTAGAGATTGTCATTCAATTGAGACTTCTGGCATATTTCGTCGAACAGAACTGATTTGGAATTTGATTAAATCAGTTTATATACATTCATATTACATTATTATATGCGTTGCTACCCATTTGTGTCAATTTCTAGGTCTCAAATATTGGCAATTTACCTCCTTTAAAGCAACACATCAACCATACTCTGCGTAGATTATCTTGTCCAATTCTGTAAAATAAGAATAACAATGAAAAGTTTATATGAAACAATCTTAAATAAAAGACACATAATTATAATAATATAATTATTATATAATAATTTTAAACATGAAAAACCCAACAAACCATGTCTTAAATAAAGTAAGACACAAAAAATAATTTAATAAAATAGGCTCAAACTTGATAATTTTACCTTATACAAAACCCACAAAATGTAGCAATAGAAGAAATTGAAAATACCCAACAATTAATTTTCAAGTTGATAATAATGTAAAGGTTTAATTTCAAAAAGCCCAGTAAATGGTTACGCAAATAAACTGAAGACTGGCGTCTTTGGCACGTGCTAGCTGTGGCGTTCCGTAGTCCCAAACAAAATACAAGATAAGCCATTAAAAACCTTTCTTTTTTCTTCCAAGTGGATACCACCACAATATAAGTTGCAATGCAAGAATGTGGTGTGTACTTACCAATACGAATTTGAAATCACCTGACGACGAAACCACTTTTTTGACACTTCGTCCCATCTTTCTAAAAAAGACCCACATCTCCAGAGATCGGCTATCCGATCACAAACGACATCGATGCTACATGATGCAAAGGTAACTTTCAAATTTTCTCCTTACAAATCATTTCTCTAAAAATATTCACAAAATAAAGTTTTTGCCAAATTTCTTAATTGTTGACTTTTGGAGGACGAATGACACCTTCTGGAAGTTCTGCAGCGAATGGCAATAGTCCGGCACAGTCAGTTTAAATTCCATAATTTACACTTCACCAACAAATTGTAATACATGTACATGCAACATACTCTTACTGATATGTGTCAAACAGTATGCCACATAATATGACACATATTAAAGCAAATTATAAGCTTGAGCCAAAACACTCACTGAACGCGGAGTAATGCCTGTAAAGGGTGAAGGTCATTTGCGCTTTCTTCGGAAGTACGGATTGTATTTAATGGGTGATCAGAAAGAAAATGCAACGGTTAGGGCTTTTAAAAATATATACATGTAGGTATGTAAATAATTGATTTCCCATGATTTGTATTCTGTCGGGAGGTTCGATCAACCTGGCGATTTTTCGTTCTTCAGTGATTTATCAACAGAGAATCGGTGGAGACGAAATAACAAAATGTCTAAAGCACATGAGAGTATGTACCTAAGGTAATGAAATACGTATTACATTAATAGAGAGAGGTTAATTGGTAAAGTTGTACACACCATGGAACAATAGTTGAGTGTGATAAGTAACGTCAGAAAGTTGAAATAATTCTTGTAGGTGTAACCGCGTTTGTTGGACATTTTGCAATATTTTCACCATAAATTTACGCCTTAGTGATCACAAGATCTTTTCATCTTTTCAGGTGTTGTGTCAAAATGGTGTCACTTTACCCTGCCCTTAACTCCATTTGAAATTCACAGCAAATATGGAATTTTCCTATGACGGTACATAACAATAGATCGCCCTCATTTCTCAGCCAATCAACGCTGGGAATCTTATTAACATGTACGGTTCCATTCATACTACGGGCGTAGTAACTGTTGTTAAATTTTGGCGCGAAAATTGCATGGGATTCATGGACATGAATATCAAATACACGTGGTAATACGTGAAGTTCCTGATGCTGTTTGGTGAATGATTAAACTGTCAATGTAATTGTAAATTGCCTTTCTATGCGCCCACAATTTCTTGTGGACAAAGCAGGGGACTATTGAAATGGGTTCGTCTGTCCATCTGCCTGTCCGTCACACATTTGGGGACAAAATAACTCTCCTTCTATTTGAGCTAAAATGTTCAAACTTGGTGTAGGTTTCAATACCTTGATGGAGTTCGAAGATGAGCATTTTCTGCCCAGGGTAAGCAGAGATAAGCAATTTGATTGGTTGATGCTTTGGGATACGATAACTTAGTTCTTATTAGTGAAAGTGATGAAATTTGGTGTATAGTTTTATTACATCAATACCTTGACTAAGTTCGATAATGAGCATTTACTGCTGAGGGTAAGCAGAGCGACGAGCAATTTGATAGGTCGAGACTTTGGAACACAATAACTCTCATTCTAATTGACCTAGAATGTTCACACTTGACGTAGGTGTTTATTAGATGCATGCCTTGATGGAATTCTGCTTGATGAGAATTTTCTGCTTAGGGTAAGCAGAGATAAGCAATTTGATTGGTTGGTGCTTTGGGACATAACTTTAGTTCTAATTTATTGAAAGTGAGGACACTTGGTGTATAGTTTTATTACATCAATATTTTGATTAAGTTCGATAATGAACACTTTTTGCTCAGAGTAAGCATTGGGATAAGCAATTGGATTGGCCGAGACTTTGGAACTCTCCTTCTAATTGAGGTAGAATGTTCAAACTTGGTGTAGGCGTTCATTAGGTGAATGGCTTGATCTAGTTCAATGATAAACATTGTCTGCTTACGGTGAGCAGAGATAAGCAATCCGATTGGTTGATGCTTTGGGGCACGATAACTTTCGTTATAATTAAGTGAGAGTGATGAAACTCCGATTATAAATTCATTATATCATTACCTTGACTAGGTTCGATGATGAGAATTTTTCTGCTTAGGCTAAGGACAGATAAGCAATTTGATGGTCAAGACTTTGGAACATAACAACTCTGCTTTTAACTGAGGTGAATGTTTAAACTTGATGTAGATGTTCATTAGGTGGATGTCTTGACTGAGTTCAATGATTAACATTTCGAGCTAAAGCTAAGCAGAGCTAGGCAATTTCACTGGTCAATGCTTTAGGACAAGATAACTTTGATTCTATCTGATAGAGAGTAATGAAAGTTAGTGTATAGTTGATAATCGGTTTGATTGCTTGATACTTTTGAAAAAAATAAATGTACGATAAATTATAATGTGTCATCTATTTATTTTGGGATTTCGGCGGGGGACATCAGCCTCACTGTTGGCTTGTTTATCCGATTTTAAAACACGTTTAAATGTTTCACCGTTACACCCTAATGACGGTTGAGTTGGAAAATCTCAAGAAGTCACAATTTTTATCCGATTTTGATGAAATTTTAAATATATCTTTATATCCCAAATATCTCTATCCATTTCGATATTCGCTCATTTCAGGCCATAACTTCCTTGATTATGGCTTCCTTGATTATTCAAGATGGCGACTGGCGAAAGCTGTTCTAAAATATGCTCCAGATAAATCTACCTTAACACGTGTAAACATGTCAACATTGAATGAAATTATTTAAACAAGAGTGACTATGGATATCTGATTGGGATATAATTATCACTGTGAAGGACGTTTATATGGTAAATATTTAGATATTCTCTATCAAACCTATTTTCCTTATGATCAGACGGTTGTCTAAACAGTGAATACGAACTCACTCTGACAAAGACGAGGTCCACAGGCTTTAAAATACTACAGTCGTCACATATAAATTGAAATGGATGTTGAAGATTCAGACAGTATAATAAACTCTTTTATAGATGAAGAATCGCTAAATGAGATCGTAGAAAGAGCTGTTAAATCGGCTGTCAAAGATATGAAAGATGGACTTGTTAAATTGATCAGTGACCGTCTAAATTCCATCACCGATAGGGTAACTGAAGTTGAACTTACGCAAAATAACATCGGACACGATGTCGATAGTTTCCATGAGAGGTTTGAATTAATTGAAAAGTCACTAAAGCAAAAGAACGAAGAATTGTCGTCCCTGAAAAACAAGATGAATAATCTCGAGTATTTGGGGTTAGTGAAAACAATGGTGAAAATTGTATTGAACTTGTAAGAAATATAATGAAAGAAAAACTTTGCATAGACAAGCAGTTGGAAATTGATGTAGCCCACAGAGTAGGAGTGGATCCGAACATTACAGATACAACTAGAAAGCACCCAAATGCAATTATTGTTCATTTTGTTAGAAGAGATGAGTGACTGTTAGTGATTTCAAACAGAAAGAAACTTAAGCATTCAGGCGTGTCTATCTCGGAAGACATGACGTTCACAAATGTTAGACTTTTAGACAAAATTCAAAAACACCCATCCGTTAAAAGCGCATGGTTTTCAAACGGCAAAGTGAGGGCCGAGGGTCACACTGGCAACAAATGCAGAATTGAACTCTTTCCAGAACTTGACCTTCAGCTAGCTAAATTATAAAACCCCATCTTTATTGTATTTAAAAAGGTGCGATTTTGTATTTCAAGTTGTCATGTAATTAAGAGTGTGATCTTTTCTAATTCAAACAACCCTACAGTAAAAGTAGCGGTATAAGTTTTCTTAGTTGATGTTTTGTTATACAAGGACTTTAATGTTGTTACGCTCGTCTTTACTTAAACACCAATCACCTAAACAGATTGGGGTTAGCCTAGGTAACTTTGGTGTAAACATATCTCACGTTACAAATGTCAAAATCAATTGCTGTTTACTCAAATATACCAGTCTTGTAGTTAAACCATAATTTTGAAAACGTCTGCATATCTCATGTATTATGGTTCGTAATATAAGCTATTAATATATTCGCTCCGATCAGGGTATAGTTTATTACGGCTCTTTTACGGGAAATCAACACATCAACGACTTATTACTATTCTATCGCTTTTATTTATTTACTGTCCTGTGTGTAAACTTATACTGTTAATTTATTATGCGATAGAATATTCACTTGATTTTTAAGTTTATTCAAAAGAAAAATCTCTCGAAGACACTATCATAACTTTCGTTTTTTTGGGTTTTTTTTTTTCGATAATTATGATATCTGAAAGTAAAAAAGATCTACTATATGATATTTTCTATGATAGTGACTCCACGTGAGGGATTTACTTCTTCTAAATTATTACTTATTCAAATAGTCGATAAATTGTGAAATACAAATCTTGTATTAAATACATTAATATTAAAGGAGCTGTACCATATTTAACACGGTATCATTTGATACAAACCAAATGGCCGAATGTATACAACACAATTTATAAATGGCAAAATCTTGTGGCTTTGTAATCGATTATCATATTTGTTTTTCTTCAACTTAAATCAATCTGATACGACCCCCTTAAATATCATACAATAACTTACACCAGTATTCAATCATGTATGCATATTGTACACTGTTTAATATCAAATAGAAAATAAATTACAAATCTAGTTCTCACTTAACCAATTTACATAAAATATAACGTCCTCCAGTAAACTTATTACTAGAAATAACCACAATCAACAATATCTTTCAAATATTATTCATCAATAGAAATCCGTAATCATAATATCCTTATACAGTTTACACATGGTTTTTTTCCCAATTCTTTTTTGTTGTTTATTAATTGTGTACTTACTTGGATTTTTTTCTTTTTGTTAGCTTAATTTTTTTTTCCTGTATACATCGACATGGCCCAAAGCACTGACTTACTTGTACATATTTTTGTTTAATGTTTACGTTTACGTTAATTTCCTTTTCCCCCTCTTTGATATCCATTACAAGTTATCAATATCATGCCGCACCACACACATTACATGACCACCCTCGCCATACCTCTCTGCTACAAACTCTAACCCCTTTTCATAGTGCAGTCACTTAAATATGTTGTACAAAAATATGGTGCAGGTGGTCTAATTTTTAGTCTCATAGTTGTCTACCTTCATTTACTTGAAAACGCATCCAGCTTCATATACTTATTTCTCTCCAGCATTTATTACTCATATGTGGAGATATTCATTCAAATCCAGGACCAGGAAAAAATCTGTC